AATTGCCACAATCACAAACTTTCGAGACACTTTACGCCGAAATGCTGAAAAGTTGTGTCGCCTCTGGTGGCTCCTGTGTTGCAGGTTGCATCTGCAAATCACGTATACGTCGCATGAAGGCTTGCCAAGTTTTTGCTTAATTAATGCCAAAGAGTTATATATTATACGGCGCACGCCACGTCCCCTAATCCTGCTCACGCCCTGACCTCATAACTTTGGCAGTTGGTCACCGGACAGCCTGACTGCCTGACTGCCTGACTGCCTGAACGTGTCCGGACTGGGATCGAATCCGGGCAATGCCATTCAATATACAAACAGAAGATCCGGCGTTGACAATGGCCCCAAGATCTGGGGCTCCGATGCGCGACACGTGCGGAGCGGAATAATGCCTGGGGAAGCATTTATTGTTACTCCGCACAAACTTGAAAAACTATAAAGCCAACTTGCGAGCGCCTTAGCCCGACCCGGGCCCAGGGATTTATTTACGTTGAAGTGCGGTGTCAGTGGCAGACATGCCACAGATTCCACCTCGGCCTTTGTGCGCGGTCTGCCAAGCATGAGTCCACCTACGTCCTCTCAAAATCCGATCTGCCCCAAACAATAGCAGGCTGGGGAAAGACAGAATAGACAGCCGGCTGCCGGGGGGAGCAGCAGCTGAAAAGTTTCATAGCCAAATGAAGATTGGCATAGCGAGATATGCACGTGATGGGAATGGAATGCCGAAAATTATATCGAGCTCCTGCGGCGTGCGAAATCTTTGCCAAAACAATATATGTCATGCACATGCCCGACGGCAGCCCCGGCAACTCGGGCGGAAGTGGCACTGCCAGTCAGTAAATGGCCAATGAATCGACTAAGCTCCGGCGGCACTGAGAGCGGAAAATAAAATGCACATTAGCCGGGCCAGAGGAGGCGCACTACTGCCAGTGGCAGTACTTCTAGAAACAGGAAGAGGGATATGTAGGCATCAGCCACGGCACATTGGGTCGGATTGTGTACATTTTGTGGTTTCTCAATCAAGTTGCATTATTTGGCCCTGCGTCACAGCTCTTACATAAGTTATTATTTAGTTAATAAAGCAAAGATATAAGATATCTTAAAGATATTTTACAATTAAATTTATGAATAAATTTCTTGACCTTCCAATTTAAATACTTGCTTAATTGCTTTCTCTTTAAATTAGAAACTGAACTTGGTGTTGCTCTCTTGTTCACTATTTCTTTTTTTTTACAAAGCAATAGTCAACAGTTTTCCAAAACTTGCCTTTTCCAAGCCTTGGCTTTTCTCTCTCTTAAAATTAATCTATGTTTTTTCTTCTTGTTTGTTTTGGCTGCCATGCCCAAACACCAAAGAATAGTTTCTCCGTCAATGTATTTGGAGAAGCATATAAACTTGTATCACTAGAACTGTTGAAGGGGAAAGCGGTAATAAATACGTTTAAAATCCGAAATTGTACCCCGTCTGGACTGGGCTAGACCCACTGTGGGCTGGAGGAAGGAAATCGTTATGTCGGCCAGGACGCCAGGCAAAGAAGAACAACAGCCCAAAGTGTGTGCGGGTGTTTAGTGTGTGTGTGTGCTGCGAAAGAAAAGCGCAAATCGAAATAAATAAATAAAATCAAATGTTCTGTGCACGAGGAAGAAAGTTTTCAAGATGGAGGAAGAGCAGGAGCTGGGGCAGGAGCCGGGGCAGCGGCTAAAATTACATCTTATGAGCACATCGGGAGGTTGCGCTCGGGGAGCGTATACGTAACGTAACGGAAGCGGAAGCAGAGCGATAAACTTTTGTTAGTGTAGCGAACACCAATCCGCAGCGGGACTCGCGAGAGCGTAAAGTGCGAAAGAGCGAGCCCTGAAGGGTCGTGGAGGGCCCTGGCGAGTCCTGGAGCTTGCTTGGCCCGCCAAAGACAAAGACTGAGGACTAAAGACTAAACACAAGGCAGAAGCCTGGCGGAAGCAGCGTGTAAATGTCGGCCAACACTTGGCTGCGCTTCCTTCGCGCGAAAGGCACTGGAACAGAAATCAGACTCAACAGATTGCTGGTACAGTGCGCGACGAGTGAGTGTCTGTATGGCACTCATGCGGTTGCCAGTCGGCAGCGAGCGACCTTGATTAGTCGCTCTGCGCTCTAATGCGATTTTCCTTAATTTCCTAGCTGCAAACGATAACTGATTGCGCCACGGTCTGGCTGTGTGTGTACAGCGAATAATGAATCCAATAAAAAATCAATGGCTAACAAGCAAGAAACATACCAGAATAAGTTTCGCCTTGGCAGAAAATCTTAACTTTCTACAAACCCACAAAACGTGACACATTTTCGGCGGCCGCTGTGGGCGCTGCAAACTCTGCTTAACTTTTACTGGAACTCAAGTCCTGTATGTATGTAGCTGTGTGAGTGGCTCATTTGCTGACCGTTTGTCTACTTTATTTTTTGTTGATCCTGGGGCCTTAAAACCAATTTCGCCGGGTATTTTTGTCACACGCAAGTTGGCAAACATATATCTCAGTTTGTCCTTTACGGGTCTCAGCAGACTTAAGTGGATTTCCGTTTCCCATGACCTCAAAAGCAAATATTTTATTTGTGGCTGAGCAACCCATGACCTTTATTTAGCATTTAAACCTAATTTCCAGAAATTAATTAGCTGGAAACGTGTAATTATTGTCAACAGAGCGGATATGTGTATGCTATGAAGTACAAGGATTCTTAAATAAGTTTTTAAAAAGCAATTGTCCTGTCCATAAGCGGAGTAATACTTAGTTACATAAAATGTTTACTGATTCTAAAAATACTTTTCATATAATCATTAAATTGAACAATTTATATGATAACTTTAAGAGCACAAAACTCCGACACCTTTACTTTAAAGCAGACTCGAAATATCTTTTGCAAAATAATATTTCATATCCTGAATAGCACATGCATGTACATACCTTTAACACATGGCTCCAAACGAATCTGTCAGGCTCTCGTCTCAAAAAGATATTTCGGCTAAATACAGCTCTTGGCATTTGATTTATTGTCGGTACTCCCCACCCAGAACTATTTGCATGTGTCTCTTAGTGATTTGTTTAGACAAACGTCCAGTTTTGTATGCGGTCGCATTTCCTTTCCTTTCGATTCGTTTGCTTGTCTCTACAGCTGTCAGGTTCAATCTTGGCCCGAACCTGAAGCTAAAGCAGAAGCTAAAGCTGAAACTGAAACTGTATTGGGTCCTGGCCAGGCGAGAGGCCACCTTTTGTGACGTTCTGTACGTAAGTGTGTGCCGGTGTGTTTGTCGTCCACTTGTCATGTCACTCGGCATCATTGTCGCCCAGACAATGGCAGTCCGACCAACCTGCTTCAACGGAGCACCTCAGTTAACATCTCGGACTCTGCCTCTTCTCACGGTTGCCAGCTCTCGACTCTGAGTCCCAGGTCCCAAAGGGTAGGCCACCGTTTCATTTACATTTCAATGTCAGCCCGGTTCCTCCTACACAAACTCACACACAACACACACTGCGAGCAAAGGAGCGCTGACAATCGTAATTTAGCGTTACAAATCAATTGGCAACTTATGGCCGTGACGAGTCGTCCTTTGTCGCCGATATCAATGGGACGGCGGACGCTGCGAAACGTATATTATGCTGAAATATTTAACGCCCAATTTATGTTAATTTTTCTGTATTTCCCTCGATGCTATGTGGCCATAAAACGAACGGAGAAAATCAAAAATACGACCACAAGTGCCAATGCCGTCAGCAGCCAGTCAGCGAGCATATTTTTATGGCTCTGCCCGGGTCTACATATATACTCGTATGTTATGCCCGATTTTTTCCACATTGACCAGGAATCGTTTAGCAATCCTGCCGTATAGTAGTATGTATTATGAACGGCTGCCATCAATGTCTGTGTTGGTGTTCGTACGTGATGTGGTGCGACTTTTCGGGTTCACAAGGGGCGCCGCAAAGGGGTGGCCATGATGTGTGTGATGGGGGTGCGATTCTCCCCGCTAACGTTTTGACAGCTCCGGCTTTAAGTTGTCAGCGCATTCTTTCATTCTCGGCCATTTTGCTTATTAACATATTGCCTGTTTGTTGTTCGTTGCTCGTGGTTCGTTGTTCGTTGTTCGCTGTCTTCCCCCAAGTCGCGGCATTGACAATTCATTTGCGTTATCACACACACGCATGCCCGGCACAGGCTTAGTGGCACAACGCCAGGCAGGCAAAACTGTCAAAATGGCTGCCAAGTATTTGCACAGATTTCTGATGCTGATAGCAAGTGACAGGCGACATCGCAGGAGGAAAACAAAAAGGAGCCGGAGACGCCGGGGAAGGGTAGGCAAGCCACAACCCCCAGTCACGTAGGACGGCTCAACGGCTGCCTCTAAGTTATTAGGGATCTCTAAATTCGACCAGGTGCTATCTGCGAGCCATAATGCACGCGGTAGTGCCGCATATACATACCGAGCCTTAATGCCAAATTGCCTGGCACTTAGGGCAGGTCACCGAGAGCGTGCTTTACTGCAAAGACGCCGCCTCCAATGGCACCACCACCACCACTCACGCTCCTCTCATGTGGCTGCTCGTTATTATTAGCATAATTACAGGCGCATTAGCGTGCCGGGTTTCAGGTGCCTGGCAATTTGCCTGCTGCCAGGACGTCTGATTATGACAGGGCCTGAAAGCACGATGCACCTCCTGCAGCGCCGTCTGAAGTTTCGCAAGTTTCTTAAAGCCTTACCCACTTTATGCAAATGCTCCCTCCAGCCTCCTGGCATTCTCCCCGCTCGCCTCCATTAACATTGCATTAATTAGCTTTTCATTTCACTTTGCAGCTTTCGCTTGATGTTTACCCAGCGTCCTTCGACATTAAGCGCCGAACGGGCTCAGTGAGCCAAGGGTCCTGACCTCCCGACAGCAAAAGGGAGAGAAAACAACTTTAAGATTAGTCCGAGGCCAAGTGAAAACAACCGCCCGCCCGATACACGAAGCGCCAAGGATTCGCGCTAGCCCGGCTCCACCATGCGGCCGCCGAGCCACTCCCAGCTGTTTCGGCTCCGGATCGATCCCTGGGCCTGTGCCTGTGCCTGGCTGGCACTGGCCGCAGCCTCGCTGGCCTATCCAAATAGCCCGTCCGAGCAGCCGCTGGTCACCTATGTGACCACCTCGACAACATCCAGCCAGCGGAGCCAGTCCGCCCCCCTGCAGCCGGCCTTTGTATATGACTCGCCCCCACCCTCGGAGGAGCAGGGTCCCCATCACACGCTGGCCACAGCCACATACCCGAGCTCCCCCGTCCGACCGATAGAGACTGATGGCGACCAGGCAAAGAGAGTCATCGGTTCCAGGTGAGTACACATACTGGGTTTGTCAGGATGCACACTTAGGCTCAAAGCGGCTGTCCTGGTGGAATTCACGCAGAGAAATGTTGTATACGAGATGCTCTCTGGAAAGATTTTAAATTGATGATATGAATTATTTCGGAACAATTCGGGTAACTTACACACTTCAAGGGGTTTATGAGATGGATCATTGAAATATAAAAATAGATAAACTACTTATAAAAATATATTGTTTCAGAAATATCATAGGCAACCAAAACCTTTTCCTTATTCAATCGTGTACCTTATTTTTTACTGTGCAGAAGGGGAAGGTCTCCCAGATTTCCACGCCCCTTTGCTTGTCCTTTGTTTGGTGTTTCTATCACAGTTGCTTTTGCTTCTGCTGTTGCTGGGGAAAATCTTTTGTTTGCACAGCTTTTTGCAATTTTTGCCACTAATTGAAATAGAATTTCCTGCTTTGTTGTAGTCGCTGTGTCGATTGAGGAGCGTGGGTCGGTCTGGCGGGGCTCTGGCCATGGCCTTAGTATTTTTAATTAATTTGCTCCGCGGCCGCAAAGCGTGCTGGAGTGGGCAGCGGGGCATTGCATACTTTGCGGCACGCGTTCGGAATCCCACCGAGCTGAATCGGGTTTTGGGTGAAGGTGGGAGTGGAGGTGGAGGTGGCGGCGGAAGAAAGGTAAAAATGGAGGTAGAGCTGGGCTGTAAACGAGGGCCAGACAACAGCGGCCAAATTGAGTGCTCATTAACTTCAAATCAATGCTAATCAATTGGGTTTACGTGGGCGCAATGATTTCGAAGTGGGTCCAAAACGGTTCATCTGCCCTAATCAATTTGAAAAACGAAGAGCATTACGGCGGACATATAAACAAGGAGGTAAGGCCTCCCTTCACAGCCTTCTCCCACCCTCCTGGCGCCACCAAGACATCTGTTTGGAGAGGAGTGGTTCCGGCGCAGTTTCATATTAATTCCGCGCATAAACGAATTCGCAGCCCGCGGCTTCTGGCGCCAGTTGGTCTTGGTAATGACTGCGAGCTGCTGGCCGCGATGATGATAGCGATGATAACGATTATGGCAATGATAACTATGCCAACGATGATGGGGAAACGCAGATCCATGCTGACAGCTGCAGTGAGGCGCAACTGCCATATTTACATGCATTTTTTTCGCGCTGCAATCCGGCATTCCGGGGGTCCTTTACGATTGGCCGACAACATAAACCCAAAAGAATTAAATCGAGAAAAGTCAATAAATCATATATTTCTGCCTGAAGCTCTGCATCAAATTTAGCTGCAAGCACCGGAGTTTTGGTTGAAATTCACAGACTAACATATTCTTCTCCTAATCCCATTGCAACACATTTGTGCACTTAATTCGCCTCCAACGCACTGATGATGATTTTGACGAAACTCAAAACGATATTTGGTGTGGCAGCTGCATATGACTAAGCGCTCTCCGACTCACGTGCTTAAATGTTAATGATGTGCTCATGCCGCACGCGGGATTACTTGCATACTCATATCGCACATACGCACACTCCCCTTCTTACACATGTAAACTGCAGTGTGTGCCGAGATATCCGTACTAAGCGATGCACAAATGCAAATGGCGATGCATGCAGATGCTGTGGATTGCTCTGGGTCGGGCTCTGGCGGGGTCTGGACCAGCGTGACTGCGTGACTTTCTGCAACGATTGCATAGTTTTCAATTTCCATTAAAATGCCAGCGATGTGCCGCCAAGTATGCAGCATTACTTGCATTGCAGAGGGACAAACGACTCTTCCGCCGACACGACTCTATATAGCAGCCTCATGTCATTAATCAGGGTTGTGGGGATCGGTTGGGTGAGGACTCGGAAAACAAGTACGCAGCAATCGATAAGTTAACACTAGACACATATTTTGACTAGGATTCAAAGAAATTGAGGCAATTTAAGTCGACTTGGTAACAAAATATATTTCTAGCCCGATTTTGTCTATCAATTAGGATGGGATTAAGAATGGATTTATTACCAAGTACCTCCCTTGTTTATCATCCGGTTCTAAGCCAATTTTCCAAATAAGTATTTAAGAAGCGTAGCTAAATATGATTAAAACAAACTTGTTCTGTGTGCAATTAAAACAAAAACGAATTTCAGAATTCAGATTTCATGAAAAATATTATTTATTGACTTGCGAGGAAAAATTAAAGTTAAAGACACCGAAAAAGGTACATAAAAGAAAGTTATTACCTTCAGGTTATAGGCTAAAGGATTAGGGATAAGTTCTATCATTAGTGTGCAGGGTATTGTAAAATGTTAAGGTTTGTTATTAAATTAATGTTATTAAATTCGCATCTTTTTAGTTCAACCTCATCGGTGTCCGTGGTCCTTGATGGCAATGAGCCGCAGTTCACGGACGCCCTAGGCCACAAGGTGCCGAAGCCTCAGCCCTCACTGCAAGTGGCCAGTCCCATTGACCTGCTTAACCCGGACCGCTACGAGTTCTACACCTTCGACGAGCACGGCGAGCTGGTAAAGAGACTGATGACCATGCAGGAGATCCAGAGCATCGTGGCCAATGGCGACGGCGAGGGGCCGTCCATCATCCACCCAGCTCCGCTGCCTGAGCACAATCCCGATAAGAATGTTCAAGACATTGTGGAAAGTGTACAGAGCGTACTTAACAAAGAGGTGGCCTCCAGCTCGGCAAAGAACAGCTCTGGTGAGCTGCTACCACCGCTGCTTGATACACCCGATGTCTCCTCCTCCTGGTCGCTTATCCTGCCCGCCATTTTCGGCAACACCGGAGGAGACATTTTCCCGCAGCAGCGCCCACAGCAGATCGTTATGACTCCGGAGTCGGAGCTGGTTGAGACGTCGACCAGAGCGGCGCCGCCAACAACGCGAGCCACCAAGAAACCGAAACCCGCCAAGCGCAAGCCAGGCAACAAACGGAAGCCCGGCACCACCACCAGCACGACCCCGGTGACCCCCCAGGTGGTTCAAGAAGAGCTGGACCCCATGGAGTCTGTGTACACGGGTATGCAGCAATACCAGCACGTGGCCGCCAATGTGCCGGACTTTGAGCTGCTCCACATGCAGCCCATCTACCAGAAGCTGCCGAGTACTACGGCTCGACCAGAGACAACCACCCGACGCGTCTTCTACAACAACCAAGAGATCATCCATACCCCAACCTCCTCCAGCAGCGCAACCTCCACGACAGAAAAGATCGTCTCAAACCACCAGCTGGCCAAGAAACCGGCGAACGTCCAGCGGAAGCCGACACAGCCCCACCGGGTAAAGAAACCCAACGGCGATGGTGCTACCGAAAACTCATCCCAGCCTGCTGGAGGCAAGCAAAAGATAAAGAAGAAGCCATCTACGACGACAACTACGACCACAGCTGCACCAGAGACGGAAGTGCAGTCGTCCACTCAGGTGGCAGGGGAGGATCCACCAGCAGAAGCCAGCAGCACCACTACTACGCAAGCACCACCCTCGACCACGCCCAAGAAGAAGAAGCGCAAGCCCACACGAACACCCGGCTCGGGATCCACTTCTGTTAGTGGCAAGCCATCAAAGCCGAAACGCAAGCCAACTACCAAGCCCAAGCCCCTGGTCCAGCAAGGTGAGCAGCAACAGCAGCAGGTCGAGAGCTCTCAAAGACCGTCCAGGCCCCAGAGACCCCACAAGAAGCCCAAGCCAACATCGTCAGGCGCTACGACAACAACTACTCTTGCTCCCGAAACAAGCTCTGCCAGCACTCCCGAACCTGTGAGCAGTTCGACGGAGGCACCAGTGTCGCAGCCAGAGCCGGAGAGCCCAAGCGCCACCACTCCACAGGCGGAGCCTGAACCATCTACTTCCGTGACAACAACAACCACTACAGAAGTTCCACTAGTTAGTACAACGGCAGCTCCTGTAAAATCGACTGCGAAACCACCTGCACTGCACCACCAGAAGTTGCATACAAAGCCGGCTGGGTCCACGAACCGTCCATCCACCACCCAGCACCATAATCGTGTCCACGGCAAGCCAGTGCACAGCACCACTACAGAGTCGAGTAAGAACGCTGGAGAGGCCCAGACCGAAAGGTACGGACTAGTGAATGTGATTGCTGCCTCAAGTACCACCCAACAACCCATGTATCCGCTGCCCAGCTACAATGCCGAATCCTCTCAAAACTTGCCCACAGTGTTTGCCGACTCTACGGCGGACCAGTCACCGCTGAAGAAGACCCCGTTGCCGTCCCTAGCTCAGCTGCAGCAACAGCTGCACATCAGCTCTCCATCGCCGGCACCCCAGCTCTCACCCGCTCAAATCCTTTCGATGGACCAAATTGTACAGTCACTCACACAAGACCTCTCCGCCGCCGACAAAGAGGACGATGTTTCCGCCTCGGGTCCTGTTAAGTACGACAGTGCCGAGAATAAGCAAGAAATGGAAGCACTGGCGAACAAGAAAAAGATTCCAGTCTCGGCTAGCTCCCCTCCCGCTGCAGCCACAACTACCGCCGCTCCCAGACCAACTTCTTCCTCTAAACCTACAATTTTGACCAGTAATAAGCCACCTTCGCCCCACTATGGCGGCAGCACTCTGGCCACGATGCTATCCGAAGAGGACGAAGATGCTACCAGTTCCACAGAGACCTCTGTAGCTCACAAGCTGCCTGCGGAGACCACGCAGAGCAGCCTTGAAGATGATGCTGAGGAACAAACACCCGTGGTAGTGATCACAGCTAGGCCACAGTACTTTACGGTTACCAAACAACCGGAACCACTGAAGCCTCTCGAAACCTACCAGGACCCCAAGGAGCCTGAAACCACAGAGTTGCCTGGACAAACTCAGTTCTTAGTAACAACACCCATGTTACCGCTCGAGGAAGTGGATGCCACCACCGATAAGCCCACAGAGGAGTCCGATCACGTCGTTAAGTTTGAGCCACTGTATGCAGAGGTACCGGAGGCGGTAATAGAGGAGCTTGACGAGCCCAGCCCCACCAGTGGCTATAACCAACAGCCCCCTGAGCCAGAGACAGCGGGAGCCACCACGGAGCAGACGCTACGTCTGCCAGTCTCTGAAAGCACTACATCCGCCGATTTTGATGATGGCAGCACAGAAGTCACCCCCATGATCGCCGACTTGGTGCAGCAACTCAACCTTGAGGTGCTCAAGCCCACTGATCAGATTTCCATGGCCAACTTCCAGACGCAGGCGGCCACTGTCGCTTCCACTCTAGTTGACGGAAGCAACACGCTAGTCTCGGACATCGCCATGAACTCTAACGAAACCAAGGATGAGCTGGAGTTCCTTATGTCCGACGTCATCCAGCAGATCACGCAGGGCGACCAGTACAGACCCCCCTCCAAGGTGCACCAAGTAGACGACTCCCACCGCCTGACCAACTTTGCCAACCTGAACGCCTCGTTCCTTCTGCAGCCAAAGCCGAAGCCGGACCAGACCAAAGTGCCAGAGGAGCCCCAAGACCCGTACAAGCTCGAGCCACCGACTGAGAACAGTCTGGCTGAGAAAAACGATACAGTCGCAGTTCCCCTTGGACAGGAAGCGATTCACCTACAACAAATTGAAACTACTACTCACCAAATTCCCATCCTATCATTGTCGCAAATCTACGCGCAGCAACAACAGGATGATGACGAGGAGCAGCAAGTGTTTGCCAACGAAAGACTTGAGGTGCAGCCAACTCAAGAGCCGACCAGGCCGGAAACCGCCCCTGCCCACGAAGCTCTATCCACAGTGGCCGCAACAGACACCACCGAGGCATACACCGCTGAGGTGGCCGCCACCACCGAGCATCAGCCAGCGCAGGAACCCTACGAGGAGAGCACGGCCAGCACAGAGGTCTCCGACAGCGAGGAGTCAACGACCAGCTACAGCGAAATCCCCGACAGCTACACGCAGCGCGAAAGTGAAGAGCAAATGCCTGAGATGTTGACAAATGGTTACAACGAGCAGGAGCAGGCGGAGTCCGGCACTAGCCAAGAAGCAGACACCGAGTCTATCTACAGCACGGTGAAGTCTCTGCCGGAAGAGCTAGAGACGACCACGCAGCAGCCGGCGGCGAAAAAGGCGACGACGGCGACTAATGTTTACCAGGACGCACAGGAAGAGGAGCAAACGTCAACAACGGAACAGCCGGATAAGCCCGAGCAGCCAGACCAGCAGGACCAGGTAGCGCAGACCAGCAGCGTGGAGGAAAGCGCCACCAACTCCGCCCAACTCCCGCCGCAGTATCAGGCGCCGGCCAGCGAGGAGGAGCGGGAGGAGGCGCCGGTGACGAAAATTCCCGGTGATATGTCCCTGGTATCATCCGAGTCGGACATGTCGCTCAGCTCGGAGCAAGCAACGGAACAAATTGAATTGAGCACGGTGAAGTCTCAGCAGCTGAACGACGAGTCGATGGAGGACATTTCCGATGAATTGACAGCCACCATTGCTGAAGAAGGCGATTCCGAGGATGCGGAGACGGTGACGAATGGCCAGAAGGTTCAGTTAGACGACGAGGATCCTTACATCAAGCTGGGCGAAACGACGGCCAGTGTGGTGAGACCACTCGTCTCCAACTCCATGGAGTCCGGCGGCGCGGATAAAAGTGCCGAGGAGGACAAGTACAAAGTAACCTTACCTTTAACCGGCAATGAGACTCCTTCAGTTGATCAAGCCGATGAGGAGGATGAAGAAGATCAAACCGGTTACCAGATGCCATTGGCTTTACCCAGCAGTACCACCACCACAACTACGACCACTACGTCAAGACCCATAACCACTATTACGCCTAGCAAACCATCTTCTACAACAACTCCAGCGCCTGCCACAACTACCAAGCGGCTAAACACCCTGAGGCCGGTATCCTACTACGTTCAGCCGTCTCTAGTGGGTGGCTACAACCAATTGGACCTTCAGCCGCCCAAGGTCTTGCCCTACAATGCCAACAAGGCCGCCCCACCCCACTTGCAAACTCCGGTGCAATCGCCAACAAGTCAGCAGCGACCGACGCAACGTCCCGCCTCGTTGACCAATCTCATGGCCAGCTCGACTCAGGCCACCCGACCACCAGTCAAACTGGAGCCCAGTCCTGAGTCCTCACAGGGTCTGGAGGCCACCACCACCAACATGGACGAGGACTTGCGATCGTTCGCCCGGCTCTGCAACGAACTAGCCTTCAGCTACTGGCGCGCCATCACATCGGAGAAGATCAGCTCGGCCAGAAGTGTGGTCATGTCGCCTTTCGGACTCACCTCCATGCTCTCCATGGTATTCATGGGGGCGCGGGGAAGCACCTCCGGTGAGATGAACGAAATACTAAAGCTGGACGACATGGTCACCTTCAATCCGCACCTGATATTCAAGAACATAACGAGCGGGGTGGAGCAGGCAATAGATAGCGATATTGCAACGGCGGCTTTTGTTAGGGAAATCTTTAGTGACCGTGCCAATGGAAAAATCCTACCCTTCTTCAAGGAGAAGACTCAACAGCTCTACGCCGGCCACGTGGAAGAGGTCAACTTCCATGTGGTCAACGATATCGTGCGCCGTCGCACCAATCTCCTGGTGAAGCGCCACACAATGGGAAAGGTCTTGGAGTACTTGCGCACTAACAGCGTGTGGGTCAACGGTCCCCTGGCCACCATCTCGGCGAATCTTTTTCAAACGGACTGCTCACGCGGCTCAACGGCCGATCGGGACGGGGAGATGTTCTTCCAGGTGCACCCCACCGTACGCCAGCGTCGTCTTGTGCCCATTCCAGCTGTGCTCTACCGCTCCGGCTTCCTGGCCGGATACGAGCCGAAGTTGGACGCCACCATTGTGTCATTTGGTAGCTTGCAGGACACTGTGAGCACGGTATATGTGATGCCCGGCCACCAGAGTTCCATCTCGCCGATGGACAACCTGGACCGCCTGGAACGTAGTCTGGTGGAGACGGCCTTTGGCGAAACGCAGTCTTGGAGCCGGCTCCTCACATCGCTGATGGACCGACCCGGCATGGAGGTGCAGCTGCCGCGCTTCTCACACCGCTCCTTCGTGAACGCCTCGCTGGGTCTACAGAAGATGGGGCTGCGTGGGCTGTTCAAGTCCGACTTTGCCGACCTACGCGGACTGACTGGAGCCGGCAATCGGGACATCTTCCTCTCCGACATGATACAGATTAACACGTTCAGCACCTGCGGCGAGGAGAAGATCTCCGAGCACCACCACGTGGAGATGTACCCGGCCCCGCCACTTCGCAAGCGCAACAAGGACGTGGATGCTACGGATGACGATGCATTCGACTCGTCAGAGGCCGTTGTTGACTTCGGCTCTCTGGTTCAGGAGTCCGCCCTTGGACGAGGCTTCTACGATGACCTGTTGGATCCCAAGTACCTGGAACTACCGCTGCCACTCCGCCCGCGGCAGGCTCGTGTCCCCGACGCCCCGAGACTCCGCTTCGACAAGCCCTTCCTCTACTTCGTGCGACACAATCCCACGGGCATGATCCTGTTCATGGGACGCTTCAATCCACGCCTGCTGCCATGAAGCAGGAGCCACGCAGCGCCCGCGGGCCGTTTCTTGTTAATTCTTGGAGTGTAACTTAGTGAATTTATACCCTACTCGTAATTGCAAACCTAATCCTTAATGACGCTGCTTGCTGTGCCTTAATCCCGCGTCCCAGTCCCGGCTCGCCAGAGTCTGGATACTCCGATCCGGGATTGATGTGCAGCAAGCGATTTTACTGGCAAGCGACAGTCGCATATCGAAATCAAATAACTTAAATGCTTAAATGCAGTTGCGCCAATTTATTTTCAACTTTTCTGACTTGCATTTAATTTGCCGAACACATATGTACATAGCATGCATATGTCCCCGGCACGGGATGGTAAGGCTTGGTAATATGTATATGCATTTTTTATTCCGCTCTTTGTCCGCTAAAAAATCGCCCCGTCCGCAAACAAATGCTGAACAAATACGTAGACAGCGAATGCGGATGCAATCGGAAAATAAATGCAAATGCAATCATGGAATGCGTCATGTTTTGGCAACTGAACAAATGTAATTTAGTAAAATAAACGTTACCAACATGGAACTAAAAGTTATGTATGCTATTATGTAAGTTTAAACAAAAAGTATAAATAAATATAAATGCTAAAAAAAACATTGCGCTAACGATGTCGTTTTCTGCAACGAACAAAGTCTGCCTTAAAAGTGTCTGGCAAGCAAAAATCAGAATGGAGGCTACCTCAAGGATTCAAAGGCAACCAAAGTGCGTCTGAAACGAAGTTTCCTTCGACTTGCCATTTCCAAATGTTTAAGATTTATGTGTATGTACACATATCATACATATGTATATAAATGAATTGTGCTCGAAGCAAGAACTACTGCAATTAAATACTCGGTAATTGATTTTGCATAATTTACATAATTCCAAAAATGGCAACCAAATTAAACTACGAAATTCAATTTTTAACTAGTCAGCAGAACCGGAAGTTTAAACAGCCTTAAGATTGTATGTTGTATTGAACTTCCTTTTACGACAATTCAATTATAATGGATAATATGGGACTACAAAATCTTAAAGAGTTTTCTTTGTAAGCTTATCATTATTGAGAATGCCAAAATTGCACTCACTTAAACACAATTCCTACCATTCGTATTGATTTGTATTTATAAGAAATCACAGCACGACTCCCTCAGTGGCGTATCCTTTCGTAGGACTCAAGGACACCAACGGCAAAGAACAATGCAATGACAAAGAGAGTTAAAAGCAAAACAGGCAGACGGATGGAAAACAGCAAATGCGCATATTTTAATTAATATTTAACAAGAATATACATACATAAGCGGGACTCATAATGAAATCGGAGCATCTCTCTCAGTCCGCTCTCTCTCGCTCTCACTTTGCCCGCTTTGTCGTGGGTGTGGCGCTGTGTGTTCGTGTTCGATGTGTGTGCGTTTTGTTGTTGCTTTCCACATTCGCAAAGTTTGCAAAGTTTATTCCAGCGCCACCATGGGATCAACAATCGCTTTCGATGGCAAAACAAAATACATAATTAAAGAGGCATTTATAAAATGAATTCAACTTTTTGTTTCAAAAATTAATAAATATAGGTAATTCTTTTTGGGAAACGTAAGTTGATTCGAATAAGTGCTCTACTTACGGTTGTCTGTTTTTCTTCATTACAATTACATATAATTGTTATTGAACCCATTTACGACCTATGTGCTTCAAAGAGAAAACTATTTACAGATTTAGAAACTGACAGATTGACATAGATTCTTACATATGAAATTTTCTTTACCCTGATGTGGTTAAAAAACCAACGTTTAATGATGATTATAATAATAATAATGTTCAAAAAATAACTTTTACTTTGATTTTTTTCATTACAGAGTTAGCATTTTTTTATCACATGGTAAAAGTTAAATACCAAAAGATCTTTTTTTTTTGTTTTTTTTGTAATAAAAATGTGTTCAATTTGTTTTAAAAGTATGTAAATAAGAACGTATATTACTTGTTACAGAATTCAAAGGATAACTACTAAATTACATATTATTAAGTTTTTTGGCCTTACACTTATATATCTTCTGAAAATGCAATGCAAAATTCTTTTCATTTGATTTTATTCTTTAGGAGTTTATAAGTATAAATACTTTGTACGATCGAAGACAGGATTAAGAATTGATTATAAGTTATAGAATCTGCCAGCTTTGTAGTAACCAAGCGCAACCAACCACCAAGAGGTGGTCATCGTTGGTTGTATATACATACATATGTACAATTTTTATTTAAATCTTCAAATTTAAAACTTTCTTAAGTTTAATTTAACGAAATAAGCTGCAGCTCTATAAAAAGCTCATAAATTCTTTTTTTAAGGAACAAACTAGGAACTCTGATCTAAAATACAGCATTTACATTTTTCCTCATCGATAGTATAGATGGTTCTTAAACGGAAATGTTTAATCTAGACTTTTTTTCGAAGTCAACATCTTGTAGACCAGTTCCTTCTGGGTGTGGAAACATAGACTGTTTTTATTATAATTCATTTAAATGGGTTATTTAATTATTTAGTCCAACAAGTGTGTATGCTGTCCCATGGTGCGTGAGTTGGTTCTGTGTTGGAAGTATTATTGTTGCCGCCGCTCTTGGTGTATTATTTGCTTGTTAATTTTTGTTGTGGGGCGTGTGTTGGTGTGTGCGAGACTGTTCACTTGCATGTCGACATGCCTTGGGTTTTGTTCCTGCTCCTGCCGATGTTAGGCGAAGTTTTATGCGGCTCCGCTGCAAACACGGGCACGTCCGCAGATGTAAGCAAATATGCATGTTGCATGTGTGCCATAAAAATCTGGCCAGCACGAGGCATACTTTTAGGAGTCGCCGGCAAATGCCTAACAATTGCCAGACACCCGACAGTGGAAGACAAAAAGAGCCATAGAAAAAATGAGGAACGTGAAAAAGCGTTGCCACAAAAAAAAACGCCTCTGGACGGTGGACCAAAAGCTGCCTCATGCTGCAGGCTGCAGGCTGTCATCCACAACTCGAGCAGAGTGGTGTCAATGTTTTCTAAATAAACCGCGAAGCACAAGCCGCAGACTGGATTAGCTGGGCAGTGATAGATGCACTCCATTTAAATTAAAAAAAAGAGAGTGTACCCAACTGTGGGGTAACCCAGAGTCACATTTCTTATACATGGACATATGTACATACATATGTATGCAGCTCCTGTCGACACTGTTTACATAGGACAACAAACTCGAATGACGTAAATAACCAAATTTGAGATACAAAGCCACTTTATGTGTAATGAATTAATTAACTTTCAATTAGCACAAGTAATAATACAACTATTAGTATACAAGAAAATTCGTATCTATTTCTCATTTAGTTACTACATGTTTCCGTCGCCAAGTTAAATGGCATTAAGTTAAATGGATTTTTTCAGTTACAAAATTAACAGCTCCGCACGGCACAATATAACATACACACGCCACAGTTGCCTCTGACAATGCGCTGCTGTTGCATACGACCCTCACTTTATTATGCCGCTAATTTGAGAGTCGCAGTGCTTTCTGCACCAGAAAGCACTAAAGTGCAGCTTACTTTTTGCATACAACAAATTTCATGTTCAGCCTCCGCTGGCTGCCGTTGTCGCCATTGTTGCTGCGCTGCGGCTTCCGCTTATTTCCGCACGTGTTGCGTCCAAGTGGAAGCAGGAGCGAGGAAAAGACAAATCTGTCATTGTGCTCAGCGCTTGTTATTATTATGATTGTTATTATGATTGTACATTGTGTAATAAGAAAAGTGTTTCCACTGCGCGCGGCATGCAGAGCCCTTTGTCCAGGACGGCGCCGGACAATGCCGCGCGACAGCCGGCAGCTGTTGCCCTGTCCAGCTTATTGTAATTGTTGTTCAGCGAACTTTTCCCCACTCTCGATTCCGGGCTCGCCTCCTCCTGCGGGTCCAGTGCCTGAATCGGAATCGCAGTCGGATCCAGACTCCTTGCCGGATGCCTCGGATACTTCTTTTCGCTGCTTTTGTCCTTCGCAGCACATTGTTTCAGGTGGGGTTCCTGCTCGTTGGCGTCTTCCTGTTTTATCCGAAAGCACCTGCCAAAATTACGCAAGTGTCACTCAAAGGACGGAAAACGACGACAGGACAGGACGGGGACAGGCGCCTGTGCGAACCCTTTCAGCTACTGTGAATAACAAAACAGCGTTCTCTTTGCTGGCGCCATGCTTGACCTTATTAAATTTGCATTTTACCCCTGCTCCGTTTCATTCTGCTTATTTGTACCTTTGCCTCGCCTCTCCCAGGCACTATTGTGTCAACATGGCGGGTACTTAATTTACATATGCCAGTGTACAGCTAATCCATTTGATTTAGGAAGTTTCGCACAGCTAATGAGCTTTTTTATGAGTGCCTCTGGCAGAAAAAATAAAACTAATTTCAATATGCACAAAACTTTTGCCCTACCCTCTTCAGAGAGACACACACTCCCCGTCTGATGATGTCCACAACTTTTCAGAGCTTCAGACGAACGTAAAAAAAACACAAAAAGTTTCGCGCTTAATTAACTACGCGCCGCAGTGACTCGACTCCCAGATAGGATAGGAATCCTATTTAATTTACATTAGTAAATTGTTAGCATGTCGACTTTCATCAACGCGTACATTATACTTGTCCTGACATACGCGATGTCCAGCTTTAAGAGAAACAATACCAAAACTGAATTAAAACTGAAAGTAAAACGAATTAAATATTTACACTAGTTTAGCTAGTCAAATAAATCAAGCACTTACATCTGCCATTTATTTCGATTTAAGAGTTTTCCTCACACTAACCCTACGTCCAGAGGTAACTAATAATCAATTTACATGGATTTTTGTCATAAATCACCGGGCAAGTGAACTGGGGACAGTTAATTATAGTGCATTAATATATTGTTCTCTCTTAATATTTTGCTAAAACTTGCAAACATTTAGCCACAACTCGAATTTCGTAATCCCTGGCTCATTGCATATTCCGGATTTCCAGCAGCCCC